AGGGGTCCCAGATTATCTTCTGTGTCTGTGTTAATTGGTTTCCCTTTTCTTTGTTGAAGAGGGTCTGTGCAATCCTTCTGCCTAGTCCGCCATCTTGCCGGAACTCTAAACTTAAGCTTTTTAACACAGAAAGTAGTAAGTGGCTGGATGGGGTATAGTACCATTCCGTAATCTCCATCAGCAATCCTAATAAACATAAACTTTAAAAATAGTGTGCTCACCATGCAGATGCAGTTTCACAACAGTTCTTTGACCCTTCCTTTTATTTAGACTGCCACTACTCACTTCTACAGAGAAGTTCTGGAGCTGCCATTGGGTGGAGTTCTACTCATTCTGTAAGATCCTGTTCTTAAGTCATCTCCTCTTTGAAGATATTCCTGACTCTTTTCCAAGCCCATAGCTCCATATTTAATGCATTATCCCCCTTAATAGTCATTTCATTTTATTGCACACATTTTTTATGTTTTCATCTTTGACAGAGCAATGGTTTTCTAGTCACCTTAGTTTCTTTTAGAATAAATTCATGCTTTGTTTTTTGCTTTGTTGTTTGTTGAGGTAAAAAGCAAATTTAATGCAACTGTTAAAAGTTGGCGGAAGGGATTTTATTTGGGTGTATTCTAAATCTAGGATTCTGAACCTTCTGTAGATCACAGACTTTATGAAAAACTGATTAAAAAAACTTTTACTTTATTCTCAGAAAAATGTATCTAACTCCAAAATTCTGTGAACAAATTTTGTGGGCTTTACAAATGCCTTTAGACCCCCCGATAGCTTAAAAGAAACACTATCTTTTAATTTTGTTAATTTTCTTACTAAATTCCATATTCCAACACAGAAGGCACATGAATTCCATATTCATATGGAATAAAAATGTTCTTAGAGAACTAAACCCTACATCCACCACTCTTCTGACAGTTTGTGGTGCTGTGGTGGCTTGCATGTTGCCTTGACGCTGGAAACTATGCCACCAGTATTTCCAATATCATCAGGGTCACCCATTCTTGGGAGGGAGAGAATCTTGGCCCTTGAACATCCACCACTATGGCAGTTCCCTGGGTCCTCAAAATCTGATGAGTTAACGTCAGAGAAAGAGGACAGTGTCTGCCTTCAAAATGACTGATGAGTGAGTCCTCAGGGTTAGCCTGCTGTACTTGGCAAGTTTTTTGGTTAGTGTTTCTTAGCAAATTTTTTTTCCTTATCCTATTTGGAAATGGGAGCTCTGGTGGGTAATGCCTAAGGCATTTGACTGCTAACCAGGAGGCTGGCGGTTCAAACCCACCAGCCACTCCTGGAAGGAAGATTGGGCAATCTACTTCCCTAGCGATACCCCAGGAGGGGTCGCTATGAGTCAGATCCAACTCCACGGCAGTGAGTTTGGAGTTTTGGGTTTATTTGGAAATAGTAATATTGAGAGTTCATTATTTTTGGTAGTGGTGCCTAGTGGTTTTTTAAAAAAACAAAACAAAAAAACTCCACTAGCTCAGTGCTGTTCGATAGAACTTTCTGCAATGATGGAAATGTCCTATATCTGCACTAATATGGTAGCCGCTAGCTTCATGACTGCTGCACCCTTGAAATGTGACTGCTGTGGCTGAGTAACTGAATTTTTAATTGTGTTTAAGTGTAAGTAGCCACGTATGGCTATGGTATTGGACTCAGGTCTAAGTTATTTCACTCTGCAATCTGGTCCTAGGGTAGACACCTCCAGGTTTGCCTGAGACTGACCCAAGTCAACCACAGGGGCATCCTCTGATAAACAACCTGATACCACTGCTCAGTCGTAAAGAGAATTTAAGATCACAAGCTGGAAACAGTTTTCTGACAAATATGTTGACTTGACAAGTATCTGGTAAATTTGGTGGAAAAATTACTTCCTGACCATTTAGTATCATCTTGTTTTCCACGGTTCTCATTTTTGCCTTGTAAACTAACTGCAGCACTACTGCACTAACTCATATTTGGTTTATTTAAACTACCATGGCTTGGGTCAGGGATACCTTAGCCATCAAAGTGACATCTTTCCTCTTTAACACTTTAAAGAGGCCCTTTGCAGCAGATTTGCTCAATGCAATGATTCATTTGATTATTTTACTGCTGCTTCCATGGGCATTGATTGTGAATCCAAGCAAAATGAAATCCTTGACAACTTCAGTCTCTTCTTCACTTATCATGATGTGGCTCATTAGTCCAGTCGTGAGGATTTTTGTTTTCTTTATGTTGAGGTGCATTCCATACTAAAGACTGTAGTCTCTGATCTTTAACAGTAAGTGCTTCAAATCTTCCTTTCCAGCAATAAGGTTGTGTCATCTGCATATCCCAGGTTGTTAATGAGTCTTCATCCAATCCCAATGGACATCGCTGTATACACAGCACGAAAGGCCTCACCTCCCCTCAGTAGCCCAGATATCACGCGCCCTTCTGCGGGGCGCCAGGGGCCCGCTGGTATCGCGAAGAACCTTGTCTCAGTGGGCACCCGCACGCGCGCCGGCCCACGGGTTCCGAAACGCTCACGGCAGCCAATGGGGCGGGGCGCCGTGCACCGGAGGCGGGGCCGTGACGCGCGCGCCTCGTGATCCCGCACCCGGCCTGCGCCCTCGGAAGCCGGAAGCGGAGGGGGACAGCGGCGCCGGCTGGGAGCTGAGAGGCTTTGCTGAGCGTCCCGGGGTTTGTGAACCCGGTGATGGACCCGGGCGGAACAGTTGCGCGGCGGCGGTCGTCGTTGCTGCTGTGGCTACTGCTGCTGTGGTCAGGGCTGGCTCTGGGCGCGCTCCCTTTCGGTAACAGCCCCCGCAGGGTCCTCCAAGACCTCCTGTCGGAGCAGCACTTGCTGGAGGTGGAGGACTTTTCACTGTCCTTGCTGCAGGGTGGAGGGCTGGCGCCGCTGTCGCTCCCTCCCGACCTGCCAGATCTGGACCCCGAGTGCCGGGAGCTGCTGCTGGACTTCGCCAACAGCAGCGTTGAGCTAACCGGGTGTATAGTACGCAGCGCCCGGCCCGTGCGCGTCTGTCAGACCTGCTATTCTCTCTTCCAACAGGTCGCCAACAAGATGGACAACATCAGCCGAGCCGTGAGGGTGGGTAGCAGAGCACACCCGGGACCTTTGGCGTGGAGGGTTGGGAAAGGAGGAGGAAGTAGATGGTAGGCAACGCTTGGGAACCTCAGTTCCCCCACCTGTAAGAAAGGGCTTGTAGTGGTTTTTTGGAGATGGGACCATCAGAAAACTGGGTGGCGTTATGGGGCTTAGGGTTTGGAGTTCTGTCCCGATGTCAGCTGTTGAGCATCCTCTTGGTACAGCATACCTGCTTATACGACTGGCTTTCCTGGGTCTTCTGAACCTCTAACCCCACTTCTCTTTTCCTCCCCACCCCTCTTCTATAGCTTCTTTCCCATCTCCACCTGAAGTTCCCAGGAACAACTCCGGAAACTCTAAGTGGAGTGGGGAAACTGTATTGTGTGGTGGTGATCTGGACCTTGAGCTTTGTAACTAGAAGTCTTCCAGTTTGTGGCATTGTGAGCGTGGATTAATTATCCTCTCAGTCCTTCAGTTTCCTCCTCTGTAAAATGGAGAGAACCGGCTGCCAAATGTGATTGTTAAAAAGAAATGAAAGAGACCATGTGGGAGTTCATCTTGGTAAATAGGACTGGGCAAGTTACTCATATTCTCTGTGCCTGTTTTCTCATCTGTAAAAAGGGAATAAAGGAATCTTTTAGAAAATTAACACATAGTGGCAGCTCTCAGTATATGGGAGCTAACATTTCCAGGAAACAATAAATCTGTCCCCATCTGGCACCCCCTTTCATGGTATTCTGAGAGCTTTTCTGTTCAGTGGCAGGTGCTTTGAAGAATTTATTTATTTAGTTATTGAAAAAGGAAGATACAGTCCCTTAAAGACCTTGTAGAATTTAGACTAGCAAAGAATTAGAGTGGCAGGGCTGTTGGTAGTCATGAGGTGTGGGCCGGATATGTCTGGTAAAGGAAAAACATGAGGAATGATATTGGGATTAGAAAATGGGAAAGTTCCTCTTGTATGGAAGGAAAAATAAGTAGTTTTATTAAAATGTGGTTGGGATTATTTCATAAATCATAGACCTACTGCCCTGCCGTGGAATTGATTCCAAGTCGTGGTGACTTTATGTGTCTCAGGGTAGAGCTGTGCCCCATGGGGTTTTCCAGGGCTGATTTATAGGAAGTAAGTCACCAAGCCTTCTTTGTAGGTAGACTTGGAACTCGTCTATTGGTTAGCAGTTAGTGCTTTTGCATCAACCAGGAATTCTGTAGTAGACATGGACAAAATACAAACTTGTGTTTAATTGTGTACTACTTTATGTTAGCCTGATGTCACTTAATGTATATCAGATTTTAAAAATATAAATGGAGGATTTAATTGCAATAAATAAATTGGTCAATCATTCTGTGAAGAGCAAGTTTTCAAGGTAATTGTTTAAATAAATTTAGGTTTACATGCAATATTTTTCAGGCTTATTTCTGTTTCGTATAGTAAGGGATTTATATGTGTGTGTATATATATGTATATATATAATGTGTATGTGT